CGCCGCCCATGAGTCTCCCGGTCGCGGCCGGCTGCGACAGAGCCTGGATTCGAACCAGGATCTCTAGTGGCACAGTTAGCACTGCGATGGACTCATTTCAAACCCGACGTCCCGAGTCATTACTTTGAAGATAGTTATTCTATAACACGGTACCCTGTCCTGTTTTATCTTTTTAGCCTCAGCCCAAACTTTCATCGCCATTACCAGTTGTTGTCTTAGCTCTCTCGAATAACACCTGTGATTGCTTTATGCCTCTCTCCCATGTCAATATGCCTTGCCTATTGCTGTTCCAGTTAGTTCTTATTATACAATTTCACTGTAGAGCCCCAAGTCTCTCTCAAACTGCCTCAAATAGCTCCTTTGTTCCACCCCCCATACACGCGGAGACCTGCTCAATCGGTGCCTCCAGTGATGCTATCTCTTTCATTGTTACCTGCTTAGGTCTACCTCCACTGTACTCATATCCTTCCGTATCCTTGTCTGTACATAATGCCCTGAATCTATTCTACAACGCCCGGAAATCTGCCCCCTTTATTCTCTGTACCCAACGCACTAGAAGACCAGTTCTTAAAGCCTTTAGCCGTATCCTTATTCTAGTCCTACTCTGTTCCTCTGGTGATGTAGAGGTTAACCCAGCCCCTGCAGCCCCCAGGATCACTCCTACTCCCCAGGCACTATCATTTGTTGACTTCTGTAACCGTAAAAGCCTTGGCTTTTTGCATGTTAACATCAGAAGCCTCCTTCCTAAGTTTGAGTTATTCACTGCATTAGCACACTCCGCCAACCCTGATGTTCTAGCAGTGTCTGAATCCTGGCATAGGAAGGCCACCAAAAATTCAGAAATGTCCATCCCCGTCTACAACATTTTCAGTCTAGATAGAACTGCCAAAGGGGGTGGAGTTGCAATCTACTGTAGAGATAGCCTGCAGAGATCTATCATACTATCCAGGTCTGTGCCCAAAATGTTTGAGCTCCTACTTCTAAAAATCCACCTTTCCAGAAATAAGTCTCTCACTGTTGCCGCTTGCTACAGACCCTCCTCAGCCCCCAGCTGTGCCCTGGACACCATATGTGAATTGATTGTCCCCCATCTATCCTCAGAGTTCGTACTGCTTGGTGACCTAAACTGGGATATGCTTAACACCCCGGCCGTTCTACAATCCAAACTAGATGCCCTCAATCTCACACAAATCATCAAGGAACCTACCAGGTACAACCCTAAATCCGTAAACATGGGCACCCTCATAGATATCATCCTGACTAACTTACCCTCTAAATACACCTCCGCTGTCTTCAACCAGGATCTCAGCGATCACTGCCTCATTGCCTGCGTCCGTAATGGGTCCACGGTCAAACGACCACCCCTCATCACTGTCAAACGCTCCCTAAAACACTTCAGAGAGCAGGCCTTTCTAATTGACCTGGCCCGGGTATCCTGGACGATATCGATCTCATTCCGTCAGTAGAGGATGCCTGGTTGTTCATTAAAAGTGCTTTCCTCTCAATCTTAAATAAGCATGCCCCATTCAAAAAATTCAGAACTAAGAACAGATATAGCCCATGGTTCTCCTCAGACTTGACTGCCCTTGACCAGCATAAAAACATCCTGTGGCGTACTGCATTAGCATCGAATAGCCCCCGCGATATGCAACTTTCAGGGAAGTTAGGAACCAATATACAGTGAGGGAAAAAAGAATTTGATCCCCTGTTGATTTTGTACGTTTGCCCACTGACAAAGACATGATCAGTCTATAATTTTTATGGTAGGTTTATTTGAACAGTGAGAGACAGAATAACAACACATACATCCAGAAGAATGCATGTAAAAAATGTTATAAATTGATTTGCATTTTAATGAGGGAAATAAGTATTTGACCCCTCTGCAAAACATGACTTAGTACTTGGTGGCAAAACCCTTGTTGGCAATCACAGAGGTCAGACGTTTCTTGTAGTTGGCCACCAGGTTTGCACACATCTCAGGAGGGATTTTATTCCACTCCTCTTTGCAGATCTTCTCCAAGTCATTAAGGTTTCGAGGCTGACGTTTGGCAACTCGAACCTTCAGCTCCCTCCACAAATGTATTATGGGATTAAGGTCTGGAGACTGGCTAGGCCACTCCAGGACCTTAATGTGCTTCTTCTTGAGCCACTCCTTTGTTGCCTTGGCCGTGTGTTTTGGGTCATTGTCATGCTGGAATACCCATCCACGACCCATTTTCAATGCCCTGGCTGAGGGAAGGAGGTTCTCACCCAAAGGGACGGTACATGGCCCCGTCCATCGTCCCTTTGATGCGGTGAAGTTGTCCTGTCCCCTTAGCAGAAAAATACCCCCAAAGCATAATGTTTCCACCTCCATGTTTGACGGTGGGGATGGTGTTCTTGGGGTCATAGGCAGCATTCCTCCTCCTCCAAACACGGCGAGTTGAGTTGATGCCAAAGAGCTCGATTTTGGTCTCATCTGACCACAACACTTTCACCCAGTTCTCCTCTGAATCATTCAGATGTTCATTGGCAAACTTCAGACGGGCCTGTATATGTGCTTTCTTGAGCAGGGGGACCTTGCGGGCGCTGCAGGATTTCAGTCCTTCACGGCGTAGTGTGTTACGAATTGTTTCTTGGTGACTATGGTCCCAGCTGCCTTGAGATCATAGACAAGATCCTCCTGTGTAGTTCTGGGCTGATTCCTCACCGTTCTCATGATCATTGCAACTCCACGAGGTGAGATCTTGCATTGAGCCCCAGGCCGAGGAAGATTGACAGTTATTTTGTGTTTCTTCCATTTGCGAATAATCGCACCAACTGTTGTCACCTTCTCACCAAGTTGCTTGGCGATGGTCTTGTAGCCCATTCCAGCCTTGTGTAGGTCTACAATCTTGTCCCTGACATCCTTGGAGAGCTCTTTGGTCTTGGCCATGGTGGAGAGTTTGGAATCTGATTGATTGATTGCTTCTGCGGACAGGTGTCTTTTATACAGGTAACAAACTGAGATTAGGAACACTCCCTTTAAGAGTGTGCTCATAATCTCAGCTCGTTACCTGTATAAAAGACACCTGGGAGCCAGAAACCTTTCTGATTGAGAGGGGGTCAAATACTTATTTCCCTCATTAAAATGCAAATCAATTTATAACATTTTTGACATGCGTTTTTCTGGATTTTGTTGTTGTTATTCTCTCACTGTTCAAATAAACCTACCATTAAAATTATAGACTGTCAGTGGGCAAACGTACAAAATCAGCAGGGGATCAAATACTTTTTTCCCTCACTGTATATCCATCCTGCCCAAAGTTTTTGAAAGCCAAGTTAACAAACAGATCACCGACCATTTCAAATCCCACCGTACCTTCTCCGCTCAAGGTCCTAAACGATATTATAACCGCGATCGATAATAGACAGTACTGTGCAGCCGTCTTCATCGACCTGGCCAAGGCTTTCGACTCTGTCAACCACTGCATTCTTATTGGCAGACTAAATAGCCTTGGTTTCTCAAATGACTGCCTCGCCTGGTTCACCAACTACTTCTCAGATAGAGTTCAATGTGTCAAATTGGAGGGCCTGTTGTCTGGACCTTTGGCAGTCTCCATCGGGGTGCCACAGGGTTCAATTCTGGGGCCAACTCTTTTCTCTGTGTATATCAATGATGTCGCTCTTGCTGCTGGTGACTCTCAGATCCACCTCTACGCAGACGACACCATTTTGTATACATCTGGCCCTTCATTGGACACTGTGTTAACAAAACTCCAAACGAGCTTCAATACCATACAACACTCCTTCCGTAGCCTCCAACTGCTCTTAAACACTAGTAAAACTAAATGCATGCTCTTCAATCAAACACTGCTGGCACCCGCCCACCCGACTAGAATCACTACTCTCGGCGGGTCTGACCTAGAGTATGTGGACAACTACAAATACCTAGGTGTCTGGTTAGACTGTAAGCTATCCTTCCAGACTCACATTAAGCATCTCCAATCCAAAGTTAAATCTAGAATCGGCTTCCTATTTCGCAACAAAGCCTCCTTCACTAATGCTGCCAAACATGCCCTCGTTAAACTGACTATCCTACCAATCCTTGACTTTGGCGATGTCATTTACAAAATAGCCTCCAACACTCTACTCAGCAAATTGGATGTAGTCTATCACAGTGCCATCCGTTTCGTCACCAAAGCCCCATATACTACCCACCACTGTGACCTGTACGCTCTTGTTGGCTGGTCCTCACTACATATTCGTCGCCAAACCCACTGGCTCCAGGTCATCTATAAATCACTGCTAGGCAAATCCCTGCCTTATCTTAGCTCATTGGTCACCATAGCAACACCCACCCGTAGTCTGCGTTCCAGCAGGTATATCTCACTGGTCATCCCCAAAGCCAACACCTCCTTTGGCCGCCATTCCTTCCAGTTCTCTGCTGCCAATGACTGGAACGAACTGCAAAAATCTCTGAAGCTGGAGACTCTTATCTCCCTCACTAACTTTAAGCATCAGTTGTCAGAGCACCTTACCGATCACTGCACCTGTACACAGCCCATCTGAAATTAGCCCACCCAACTACCTCATCCCCATATTGTTATTTATTTTTCTCATTTGCACCCCAGTATCTCTATTTGCACATCATCTCTTGCACATCTATCATTCCAGTGTTAATACTAAATTGTAATTCTTTTACAATTTTACAATTACCTATTCATTGCCTTACCTCCTTAACTTGCTACATTTGCACACACTGTATATATATTTTCTGTTGTATTTGTTACTTTATGTTTTGTTTACCCCATATGTAACTCTGTGTTGTTGTTTTTTATCGCACTGCTTTGCTTTATCTTGGCCAGGTCGCAGTTGTAAATGAGAACTTGTTCTCAACTGGCCTACCTGGTTAAATAAAGGTGAAATAAAATAAAAAATAAAAGTAGGAGGGAACTGCTATGCCCTCTACAGGCAAGGACATGTAACTGCACAGTTACTACTGTAATATTACAAAAGTATACCATGAAATATGACTTACTGTTGACATGAAGTGTCACCACGGTCCTGTTCCTGCCAGCGATGAAGGTGTATTCTCCTGCATCACTTTTGTAGGTCTCAGAGATGGTCAGACGATGGAGCTTTCTAATGCATACATAGCTGAACCTCTGATCAACGGAAAACTGGAGCTCAATGCCGTTCCTCAGCCAGCGACCTTCAATGTCATCCTCATTGACTTCAAACTCGAACGTTGTTTTTTGTTTCTCAACAACCTATAAATTAATAATAAATCAATAATGTTAAAATTGATTTTTTTTAGGTTAGTTTTTCTTTCTGTATATAAAAATGAGTCATATTTATATTCACCATCATTTTCTTCTCAGCAGGCTCTGTAATGTGGACATCTTTGCCCTCCACGGTGAGATGAGCCTTTGATATGCTTGCCCCAGCAATTACAGAGTACTCTCCGGCATCAGACATGCGGACTGACTGGATCATTAGACAGTGCAGGAATTTCTCAGTGGATACAGTGTATCTGTCAAGGCATTTAGAAATAACAGTTAAGATACAAATGAATAGTTAAAATTTGATTGAAGCAGTTGTACACGAGATGGCGTGCTAAACAACTTTTTTAGCACGGCTATGCTGTGGTCATAGGTACGAGGCGGATCCGAGTACCGTAGATCAGCACAGCCGTGCTGAAAAAGTCATTTTGTACAACCTCGAGTGTACAATTGATTTTCTACAATGGGTTACCAATTAAATAAAAAACTTTATTTTGATAAATGTATTCATAGGCTACTATTTCATCCATCAACGTAAGTATAGGCCTAGTCCTGACACATCTATGGTTGCTGTTAGGTTGCCAGAGACGCGACGCAGTCGTTAAGTATTTTTGTTCTATATCTATGGACGTGACCCAGTCGTTCGTTCTAAATGTTCTGTTGCCATGCTTGCTAGCTAGGCAACTATGGCTAACACAGTCAGGTCAAACAGTGCAGCTAGAATAACAGCAAAGTAGCTGCATTTGAGTTTGTTTAAGCTGTTTTGGATACATCCACAACAATGAGCTGATGATGTGCGATTTCGCCTGGCATAAAGAATGTGCTCTCTCATCAGGACACTGTTCAGAGGAGCTAGCGAACTACACAGCTAACACAATCACTTCAAACTGAAGCTGGTAAGACAGCAAAATAGCTGCATTTCATGTCGTTTGACCTGTTTCTCTATTGACATTTCTTTGTATATATCCATTAAAAGGATGCTGATTCATGACTGGCTGAGAAAAGATGTCCGCTCATTCTATTGGTTAGGTTGCCAGAGACCCAGTCGTGAAGTCTTTTAATTCTCTATCAAAAAATCAAATCAAACTTTATTTGTCACATGCGCCGAATACAAGAGGTGTAGACCTTACCGTGAAATGCTTACTTACAAGCCCTTAACCAACAATACAGTTCAAGAAAAGATTTACCAAATAAACTAAAGTAAAAAATAATACAAAGGAACACAATAAAGGAACAATAACGAGGCTATATACAGGGGGTATTGGTACTGAGTCAATGTGCGGGGGTACAGGTTAGTCGAGGTACTTTGTGCATGTAGGTAGGGGTAAAGTGACTATGCATAGATAATAGACAGCGTGTAGCAGCAGCGTAAAAACAAATGGGGGGGGGGGGGGGGTAGAACAATTTCAATAATTGTTCAGCAGTCTTATGGCTTGGGGGTAGAAGCTGTTAATGAGCCTTTTGGTCCTAGACTTGGTGCTCCGGTACTGCTTGCCGTGCGATAGCAGAGAGAACAGTCTATGACTTGGGTGACTGGAGTCTTTGACAATTTTTGGGCTTTCCTCTGACACCGCCTAGTATATAGGTCCTGGATGGCAGGGAGCTTGGCCCCATTGATGTACTGGGCTGTACGTACTACCCTCTGTCGCGCCTTACGGTCAGATGCCGAGCAGTTGCCATACCAGGCAGTGATGCAAACGGTCAGCATGCTCTTGATGGTGCAGCTGTATAACGTTTTGAGGATCTGGGGACCCATGCCAAATCTTTTCAGTCTCCTGAGGGGACCATGATGTTTGGACCATGATAGTTTGCTGGTGATGTGGACACCAAGGAACTTGAAACTCTCGACCCGCTCCACTACAGCCCCGTCGATGTAGTCCACGATCAGCTCCTTTGTTTTGCTCACATTGAGGGAGAGGTTGTTGTCCTTGCACCACACTGTCAGGTCTCTCACCTCCTCCCTATAGGCTGTCTCATCGTTGTCGGTGATCAGGCCTACCACTGTTGTGTCGTCAGAAAACTTAATGACGGTGTTGGAGTTGGGTTTGGCCATGTAGTCGTGGGTGAACAGGGAGTACAGGAGGGGACTAAGCACGCACCACTGAGGGGCCCCAGTGTTGAGGATCAGCATGGCAGACGTGTTGTTGCCTACCCTTACCACCTGGGGGCGGCCCGTCAGGAAGTCCATGATACAGTTGCAGAGGGACGTGTTTAGTCCCAGGGTCCTTAGCTTAGTGATGAGCTTTGTGGGCACTATGGTGTTGAACGCTGAGCTGTAGTCAATGAACAGCATTCTCACATAGGTGTTCCTTTTGTCCAGGTGGGAAAGGGCAGTGTGGAATGCGTTTGAGATTGCGTCTTCTGTGGATCTGTTGGGGCTATATGCGAATTGGAGTGGGTCTAGGGGATTCGGGATGATGCTGTTGATGTGAGCCATGACCAGCCTTTCAAAGCACTTCATGGCTACCGACGTGAGTGCTACGGGGCGGTAATCATTTAGGCAGGTTACTTTCGCTTCCTTGGGCACAGGGCTATGGTGGTCTGCTTGAAACATGTAGGTATTACAGACTCGGTCAGGGAGAGGTTGAAAATGTCAGTGAAGACACTCGCCAGTTGGTCCGCGCATGCTTTGAGTACATGTCCTGGTAGTCCGTCTGGCCCCATGGCTTTGTGAATGTTGACCTGTTTAAAGGTCTTGCTCACATTGGCTACCGAGAGCGTTATCACACAGCCATCAGTGTTGCTTGCCTCGAATCGAGCATAAAAGGCATTTAGCTCATCTGGTCTGCTCGCGTCACTGGGCAGTTTGCGGCTGGGTTTCCCTTTGTAGTCGGTAATAGTTTTCAAGCCCTGCGACATCCGACTAGCGTCAGAGCCGGTGTAGTAGGATTCAATCTTAATCCTGTATTGACGCTTTGCCTGTTTCATGGTTCGTCTGAGGGCGTAGCGGGATATCTTATAAGCGTCCAGATTAGTGTCCAGCTCCTTGAAAGCAGCAGCTCTAGCCTTTAGCTCGATTCGGACGTTGCCTGTAATCCATGGCTTCTGGTTGGGTTTATGTCACTGTGGGGACGACGTCGTCGATGAACTTATTGATGAAGCCGATGACTAAGGTGGTATACTCCTCAATGACATTGGATGAATCCCGTAACATATTCTAGTCTGTGCTAGCAAAACAGTCCTGTAGCGTAGCATCCGCGTCATCTGACCACTTCCGTATTGAGCGAGTCACTGGTACGTCCTGCTTTAGTTTTTGCTTGTAAGCAGGAATCAGGAGGATATAATTATGGTCAGATTTGCCAAATGGAGGGCGAGAGAGAGCTTTGTATGCGTCTCTGTGTGTGGAGTAAAGGTGGTCTAGAGTTTTTTTCCCTCTGGATGCACATGTGACATGCTGGTAGAAAACGGATGTAAGTTTGCCTGCATTAAAGTCCCGGCCACTAGGAGCGCCGCTTCTGGATGAACATTTTCTTGTTTGCTTATGACCTTATACAGCTCGTTGAGTGCGGTCTTAGTTCCAGCATCGGTTTGTGGTGGTAAATAGACAGCTACGAATAATATAGATGGGAACTCTCTTGGTAGATAGCGTGGTCTACAGCTTATCATAAGGTATCTACCTCAGGCAAGCAATGCCTCGAGACTTCTTTAATATTAGACATCGCGCACCAGCTGTTATTAACAAATAGACACACACCCCCGCCCCTCATCTCTGTCCTGCCGATGTATGGACGCGACCCAGTCGTTCGTTCTAAATGTGCTGTTGCCATGCTGGCTGGCAACGCTCTTATCCCTTGCTTACTAGCTAGCCAACTACGGCTAACATAGTCACGTCAAACTGTGCAGCTAGAATAACAGCCAAGTAGCTGCATTTCATTTGACCTATTTTTCTTTTGACATTTCTTGTATATTTATCCATAAAAATTATGCTGATTCATGATATCGACTGGCTTAGAAAGATGTCAGTCTTCTCCTGACACCTTAATTGTCAATTGGACAGTGCAAACCAAATGTTAGGCTAGAAGAAAGGGGAAATAATGTCTACAGTGCCTTGCAAAAGTATTCATCACCCTTGGCATTTTTCCTATTTTGTTGCATTACAACCTGTAATTTCAATGGAATTTTATTTGGATTTCATGTAATGGATATACACAAAATAGTACAAATAGGTGAAAAAAATAACTTCTTTCAAAGAATTCGAAAAAATTAATAACGGAAAAGTGGTGCGTGCATGAAGCCCCTAAATAAGATCTGGTGCAACCAATTACCGTCAGAAGTCACATAATTAGTTAAATAAAGTCCACCTGTGTGCAATCTAAGTGTCACATGATCTCAGTATATATACACCTGTTCTGAAAGGCCCCAGAGTCTGCAACACCACTAAGCCAGGGGCTCCACCAAGCAAGCGGCACCATGAAGACCAAGGAGCTCTCCAAACAGGTCAGGGGCAAAGTTGTGGAGAAGTACAGATCAGGGTTGGGTTCTAAAAAAATATCAGAAACTTTGAACATCCCACGGAGCACCATTAAATCCATTATAAAAAAATGGAAAGAATATGGCACCACAACAAACCTGCCAAGAGAGGGCCGCCCACCAAAACTCACGGACCAGGCAAGGAGGGCATTTATCAGAGAGGCAACAAAGAGACCAAAGATAACCCTGAAGGAGCTGCAAAGCTCCACAGCGGAGATTGGAGTATCTGTCCATAGGACCACTTTAAGCCGTAGTTATGCATGCTCAAGTTTTCTGTTTTTTTGTCTTATTTCTTGTTTGTTTCACAAGAAAAAATATTTTGCATCTTCAAAGTGGTAGGCATGTTGTGTAAATCAAATGATACAAACCCCCCAAAAATCCATTTTAATTCCAGGTTGTAAGGCAACAAAATAGGAAAAATGCCAAGGGGGGTGAATACTTTCGCAAGCCACTGTAGATGCCTTTTACAGTGGAGATCAAGTTAATTAATTGTCTGGCTGAGCTGATGAGACAGTGGATGGTAGGGATTTCTCAGATGGAACACAAAACACAAAACAAGATTCCCATTTTTGCGTCATAGGCTTACCCCTGCTAAACAGGTTTTTTAGTATGGCTTCGAACATGTGTCAACCAATCACAATGCTTGTTTTGACCAACCCGTTGTAGAATATTATGATATCCATTACTATCTTCACCAGGTTTAATATTCCTGGTAATAAGACATACCTTTCGGAAATGTCCAGCTCCTGTCCATCTTTCATCCATATCACCTGAGCATTAGGCTCAGAGATCTCACATTCAAAAGTGGCCTTCTTCTTCTCTGTGATCTTGATACCTTTGATATGCTTGGTGAATTCAACAACACGAGCTAAAACACAAAGAGGGCACAGAAATAAGATTGTGAAATATAAAGGAAACCTTGTTTTAGAAAATTGAAGAAAAATAAGAACATACCATCAACATAAAGCTTTGCTGATGACGCAGCAGAACCAGCCACAAACTTATACTCTGCACCATCACCAAAATTAACATTTCGGATGGTGAGAGAGTGAGTTAGCTGTTTGGTGCGGCTCTGGCATCTGTCAGTGGAACGAATCTCAACACCATTCTTGAGCCACTTGTAGGTGATGCCCTCATAGTTGACATTTACTTCAAATGTGATGGTGTCTTTCTCCTGTGCATTGAGGTCTTTCAGCATGTCAGTGATCAAAATGGCTAAGGAAAAAATTAAAATGTTACGATCAATACTGACAAGATGATTAGGGATTACTTCCTTGATAATGAAGAGGAAACTTACCATTGACGGTCAAAGTGGCAGAGACTCTGTCATGTCCACAGACAAAGGTGTATTCTGCAGAGTCTTCACTGCTAGTGTTCATAATCTTGAGCTGGTGAAGTTTGCCCTGCACCACAATCCTGAACTTTTCACTCATTTCGATCTCCACTCCATTTTTCAGCCAGGTGGACGGGACATTGAAATGTGAAACTTCACATTCAAAAGTGGCCACCTCGGTCTCTGGGACTTCAATGTTCTTGATAGGTTTTGTGACACGCAGAGCTGGAAAAATAACATAAAATCAACATTTAAGTAAAAGGTATCAATTGAGTATTCAGCAATCATATATCCAGTACTCTAGTCTATTCATCACAAACGCAATACCGACCTTCAACATATAAAGATGCGCTGCATTGCAGGTTTCCAACTACAACAGTGTACTCTCCATGGTTGTTAGTCTTCACATTCTGGATGATCAGCTTGTGAGCTTTTCTCTCAGACAGCATTTTGATGTTTTCACTTGGTTTAAGCTCAACGTTATTGAACATCCATTTGATAGGGATGTCATCATGAGACAGGCTCAGCTCAAAAGAGGCAGTGGCATCCAATAGTGATGTCACATCTTTAGGCTTCTTAACAATCTTGATTGCTGAAAAAAAGATTGACAAAAGTGAAAAACCTCAAAGGGTAAGTAGAAACATCTCAAGTATAGATGCATTTGTATACTTGATTGTCTACATCAATTTGTGACAGTTAAAATATTAACTTACTCTCAACGTTCAATCTGGCATTAGCAGATAGTTGTCCAAGTTTGAATCCATAAACTGATTCATCGCGTGTGTCGCAGTTCTTGATCTTCAAGGTGTGGATCATGCCATCAATTGTGATTTCATATTTCTCACTAGGTTGGATCTCTACACCATTCTTAATCCATTGTGAACCCTTCACATTCTTGTGGCTGAGCTCGAGACTGAACTTTGCTTCCTGTGTCTCAGTGACAGTTTGGTTCTTCAGGGTCTTCTTGACTTTCACAGCTATGAAATCAAACATAAACATTACATAACAGCAGGCATATAGTAATCATATAATAGTCATATATTAATGCCAGTTGAAAATAAACAAAATATTTCTGCTCAGAATGTAACACCTACCCTCAACCCTCAGGATGGCTGTTGTCTTGGAGTTTGCAACCTGGTAAGTGTATTCACCGATGTCCTGGGGTGTAGTTATGGTAATAACAAGACGTCTGACAGCTCCATTTTTCACATGTTTGACATTGTCACTGAAGTCCACAGGTTGTCCATCCTTCAGCCACTTGCCCTCAGCAGTTGGGTTGGCCACCTCACACTCCAGCTCAGCTGTCTGAGACTCAGCCATAGTCACGTCCTGGAGTGGTCTGTTTATGGCACCACCTGGGAACATGGAGACATGTTTAGTTATATATAACAGGCTAAAAGTGAAAGTGGTAGTGAAAGGTGGAGTTATAAACATTAATATGATGGAAATAAGGAACTAAAGTATGTTTTTAGACTTGGTCCCTTTCAGCCAATTTTTGTGAACTCAGTGCGGTTCGCTTATTTTTTTGTGCAGTGTGAACACTCTAAAGGAACTGAGACCCCTCAAAAATGCCCCCAAAGCAAACCAAACGGAGACCATCTCGAGAGTTGGTCTGAGTTCAGATCACTTGAATTCCGTGGTCCAGTTCCCTTTTTTAGGGCAATGTGAACACAAAGCTCCCCAGTTTAACTTGTCATTATTCTGCACCACACACTACACTACTGCAACACCGTTTCCCCTGCCATAAACCTTCACATTGGTGCCACAAAAGAGAGAAGAGGATGATGTGGCCTCCTGAGTGGCGCAGTGGTCTAAGGCACTGTATTTCCTAAATATATGTGGTATTTTTAGTTCCGATTATTTGTTTGCAATATGTGACCTTTAGGCTAAGAGAGCTTCATAAACTGTTTATTCGATTGTGTGGGTTGAATAGTGTGAGAAGACAACAACATATTTGGTGAGAATCACAACAGGGTACAAAATCAATTCTAGTTCTTAAAGGGTTAGTAGCTTACATTGGGTGTACAATTTTAAATTACAGTATTATTTAATCTGTATTTATTCTTCTGCTATTTATTATGTTACCAATAATATTTACATGTTAATAGTATCTTCTGATTACAATTATTATCTTTTCACTAAATGCAGTCTATTAGCTTCCAAAATGTAAGTAGGTATATCTAGCTGTACGATAACACATTCTGATGGAATGGCTTGTCCTGCACTTTGTAGAAACCCAGAGTGCATTGAGTGAATGTTGGAAAAAGATCTTGGTTCCTTTCTAAACATAGCACTGTGAATGCAAAGAGACACTCGGACCACAAAATAGGTGAAGTGAACTGGCAAAAGAGTTGAGTCCTCATTCAAAGGCAAGGGCAGTGTGAATACAAAGAGAACTGTGTTCTTTTGCTCTTTTTTATCCCAGAGATCACTTTAAAGAGGACTGAGATTGGTTCTTTTAAAGAGGACTATATGTGAAAACACCCTAATTGGTTCCAACTCAGCAGACAACTTTGAGTCAGGGCAGTGGAAATCAATTCATCTTTTCAGAAGGAGTTTATGTACAATATCATGAAGACGTTAAACATACCTGACACAGTAATCTTAGCACTGGATGTCTGTTCACCAGCAGAAAATGTGTATTGCCCCTCTTCATCCTTCATGGTGTTAATGACTGTCAGGCTGTAATTCTTGCCCTTGGCCTCAAGCTTGTGCTTTGGACCAGCTTTGAGTTCTTGTTTCTTGAAGGTCCACACAGCGGCAATGCCAGGGTGGGAAACCTCAACTTTAAATGTTATATTCTGGGTCTCTGTGCAAACTTGATCCTCCATATGCTTCACGATATGAATTTCTGTAAAATAACAAAATAAGTTGAATAGGGTCTGTATAAATGGGGTCTGAATGAACTTGCAACACACACAATGAAAAAACATACTTTCAATAGTCAGTTTACAGCTAGAGTCAGCTTTGCCAACACATAGCTTGTAGGTTCCTTCATCAGCAGCAAATGTCCTGTGGAATACCAAGCACTGTTTGGATCCCTTTGCAAGCATCTGGATTCTCTCACTGGCCATCACAAGCTTGTCATTGCGTAACCATTTCACGGAGGTAACATCAGCAGCAGATATTTTAGCCTCCATAACAGCCTTGGTACCCTCAACTGCAGTAACATCAGTGAGTGGGCTCAAAATATCAATCGCTGTAAAACGGGGAAAAAATATCATTTTCAAAACCTGATGATTCACAATACAATTATATAATTGAATATAGTCAGACTGATAAAAGTTGCTTACTTTGAATGTTCAACTTCCCAGAGGTTGCGATATCCTGAGCTGGGACAAAGAAGGAGTATGTTGCAGCATCATCTCTGCTCACATTTTCAACAAGCAGCTTGTGGACCAGTTTGTCGATAACGATGTGGATGCGATCTGTGGCAGAGAATGCTTGGCCATTCTTCATCCATGTTCCCTCAACGTTTTCCTGAGAGAATCGCACTTCTAATTGAGCGATGTCACCCTCGCAGATCGTCAGGTCAGTGAGGGGTTGCGTCAGTGTCACAGGGCGCACTAAAGGAAAAGACAATGACATTGTTACGCTGTTCATCCCACTTTTTCAACAGTAATGGTTGTCTTGACAGTGACTCGAAGAGAAGAAGCTAACCACACTAATAACAAAGTCATAACTCACGTTTCATCTTCAGGGAGGCACTGGTCTGCATATCGGCAATTTTGAATGTATATTTTCCCTGATCTTCTTTCTTGATGTCTTTGACAGACAAGGCATGGTGTCCACGGCGGGAGGAGGTAACATATTTGCTGCTGGGAGTGATTTCCTTGTCATTGAAGTGCCATGTACCTTCAGCATCCTCACGAGACAATTCAACCTCAAACTCTCCAGAGTAGGTCTCAGGCACTTCAATGTTCTCCAGCCTCTTCACAATTGACAGTGAAGCACCTGCACAATAAGAACATTTTACATTTAACTGTTTCAGAGTTACTGTTTTATAATTAATGTATTCCAACTTCACTATTTTCACAGTTGAAATGAACTGTTGAAGTCTGTATCGTATCTGAAGATTATGCCTTTGTTAAATGTTTTTCATGACGAAATGGAATGTTGGTTGTTCAGGCCAAAGGGGGGATGTTTTATGATGTTATTTGAAATGTGCCGCTTGGAGGGTGACGCCCGAGGGGAGACTGGTGATTGGCCAGAAGAGGGAGTAGCCCCTCCCTTTGCATTGTTTATAAATAGGAGTTAAACGATGAGACGACAGAACGACCATAACAATCTGGGAGGCGTTCTCCAGGCAACGCGTGTCTGTGAATTTATGCTGTAACCTCGTGGTATGAATAAAAACTTCTGACACGATGCAGCATAACGGACTTTTTGTTCATCAGCAATATTACCACCATTCATCATATACGACATAATGGCGCCCAACGTGGGGCATGGGTTTGCGTCTCCTCTTTGTTTCAGTCAACCGCCGGCCTAACTCTCTCTGAAGCATGGCCGAAAAAGGGTGAGTGTGTTCTTACCGCTTCGGAGTTTGTTAGATTGGATATGACTTGTGTACATTGAGGGGATGTTCCATATGACCTGGCCTCAGGTGGTGTTTGTTGCTGGTCGACTGAAGTCTGCTAAATTTATTTCATCGGAAACGACAGTTAATTGGAATTTAGAGCATTAAACGGTAGGATTTAAGTATTGAACGTGTATAATTCATTGGTAACGGGTGACAATGGATTGGTAGAGAATATATGTTGGGAGATATCTGCATAATTAGGGCACCGGGAATACGGAAAAGACCTCGAAACGAGGCGACTTGTAATAATAATTATTATTATTATTAAGTGGGCTACAAATCCTGGGCTTAGTTAGACTGAATCAGGTTGATTTCTTAAGCGGGAATTATGAAGTGAATTGGTGTATTTATGTTATACTCCGCCTCTGGTCGACGGGAAATTGGTTTGGGGATAACCGCTTGATATGAGATTCATCTTTCAAGGCAACAAAAAGTTAGACGGGGAGAGAATTGGACGATTATTTATTTGGCCACGGTGCAGGGTGTTCATTGGTATAGCTAGTAGGCCACAGTTGGCTAGAGGCTGAAGCTAAGGCTTGATTGTTTCAGGCCACGTGGTACATCGTTGCTCAGGTTAATCGTTGTAAGGCTAAAGTGGGAATCATGCTATGGTGTACCTTAGGCTAAGCTAAAGGCTAATGCTACAGGTTAATTGTGTTGTGTGCTACATGCTAACGGATATCCTTAGAGATTCCGTTGCGACGGGTGAAAGTCTCTTAAACTTGTTTATGTGTTTGTAAGTCAGGTTATATTTTTTGTGAGCGCTGGTAAATGTTGTTTGATTATAAGGGGAAATGGGAAGTTACAGCTGGCTGTTATTCTTTCTGTTTGGGGAGAGAGAAGAGAGAATCTTTCTTCCACGGTGAAATTGTATTGAGGAATGGGTATGCGCATGCGTTTAATTTTGCGACACTACAGTACCAAACGTGGGAGTTGGAGTTTATGGCACGAGATTAGGGAACGTTTTGTTTTACGGCACCATGAGGGGATGCTGAGACTCAAGTATGAGGTTAAAATGATATTTGCGCATGCGTGATTTTACGGGGTTAAAAACTACAACATGTGGTTATGTGCTAAGCCTACAAAGCACGGCATTATGGGTAAGGGTCATAGGTCCCATGTGACGCGGCAAGGGATAATAGTCACAGAATAAGAGAGATTTTGGGGAAAAATCTCTTAGGTGTTAAACGGTTGTTGTTCGAACGGGAAACTATTTGGCGAGATGTGGTAAAGTTATAAATCAAATATATGTTGACGGAGTATAATTAATTAAATTAAAAGACGATTAAAATTAAATGAAATGGTTTGGAGCGATCTATTTAGTAAATGATATTTGCGCATGCGTGGGATTCTGCAAAACAACACATTGGTTAAACTGCAGGGGGAGACAGAGGAACCCAGACGACGGAACAAATAGGCCCAGGGAGAGTTTAACACGAATCTTATAAGTTTATAAACGGCGGTGGGTTAAGATGAAACTTGTTTTGGGACCTATTAAATTTATAAATTAAATATATGTTGACGAAGTATAATGCATTGAATGTGGATAACTTGATTAATTGCATAAACTGCTGAAATCTTGTGTGTTTCTATGTTTTTTGAAATATGAGAGGAACATGGAATGGCGAGACGAGAGAGAGGAGGGGTGACGTCACATGACGTGACATCACATGATGCAGGAGAGGATCGGATCAGGCTAGTACACAAAATCATCCTAACCAGATATGTGATGTTATGACAATTTTACATCGGCTTGGCAAATACTATTTCATTAAAAATTGCATTTTGGAGGCTATGTGCATCACTGGGGTTTAATTACAGATGTGTTGGGAATCCAGGATGGATTGAGGATTCTTCTGTAAATTTATGATAATTAGAGCTAATGGAGCAAGGGGTTATGGGAATTGGAGTATTGTAGTATTGAAGGTTGGGCTTTGTTTATGGGTATTTTAGTCTGAAGATTACTAACTTGCATTTACTTGCATTTGATGGGTTGTGGTAATATACTCAACACTAATTGATAAATTGGTGATATAGGAATAAAAAATTGGTTTTAAATTATTCATAATTTTTAATTGAGTTTTTAATGGGTTTTTATTTTTAATTAAAGGGTTTTTGAATAAGGCATTTAATTGAATGTTTTTAATATTCATATTTTATTTTATTTAATTTTTTTTTGGGAGGAGGAAAAAAAAATTTTTTTTTTTTTTTTTTTTTTTTTTGAAGGTTGTTAGGGTTATATTAATAATTTAAGGGGGGAAGCCTATATAACTTATACAGTCTAGAATAAGATAGTTCACAATAAAGGAATATAAAAGGGTGTTACAATGGGGAAAAAGATATCAGGACTATGAGAGTCATTTCACGGGTGGAAATAGGGGTAATCCTTTAATTAAAGTGTTGCTAGGTTATCCGGCAAGTGAAACAAAAGTTGCCCTTCATTCTCAAACAAAAATTGATAAAATATGTCAGCGATAAGATAGGTTTAAAAAGTAGAGCTTAGGGATGTTTATTCTCAGCTTACAATGATCATCTAGCAGGGTGATTATGGCATCAGAGATGAAGATGAATACGAGCAGAAACAACGATGAAGATGAATTCAGAAGACTGAAGAAAATGGGATGTCTGGGAACTTAAGGAGATGAGGAGGATGAAGATGAGTGATTGAGAGAGGTCATGGGTGGATATGACTCTGATCAGAAGGAAGTGGCAAGAGAGGAAAGAAGGATACTGGAGACTTGATCTCTGATGAAAGTTGAACGAAGGAGACAAGAGATTCGAGTTCTGATGAAGAAAGTGATGAAGATTTGGAGATTAAAGGTGTTGTATGTTCAAGAGGATTTTATCCTACAATGACTGGCAAAGAAGAAATAGGAGATATAGACCGAGGCGTATCAGGCCTGGAGGAAGAGACGACTTTGGGAGAGGTAAGGGAGCTAGAGGAACAGCTCGAGACGCTGAAGATATAGAAGAGACAAGGAGAAAACCGGCGGAGAACATTTTTAATCCCAAGAATTGAAGAAGAACACATTGAGGTCAAGAAGAGCCCACTAGTAAGAAGATGATGGAAGATGATATTTCGAGGACAGAACTTGGAACTAAGGTTGAAGAATACTGATATGTCAACGATGAGAAGAACCGGACGAAGAAAACTCAAGCAAATACAACTTATAACTGGTGGTGGAGAAGAAGAAAATAAGTGTTGGTTATGAAGAATCAGAGTGAATCAAATCAACAATCACTGTTACAGCTTCAACTGAACAATATCAAAGGCAATTGTACCCGCCAAGGGGGGACCAGATGTTCCATATCGACTGTCAGTTTCTGGACAGACACAGAATTGGAGAGGGAGAAGAACAAAGAAGAAGGAGGAATATTTCAGCTACACTTTCAGCAACTTTCAGAAGACTGGTATAATTATGGACAGATTGGGTACTTTACATGTTCATGCAACAAGAACAGGAGAAAACAACAGAGGAAGATGAAGGAGAAAAAGATCACCTGTTCTAGAAGAGATGAAGGGGGGGTGCATTGCTGAGAGCATCGATTAGAGAAGAAGAGAAAATAGCTAACAGTTGAAACAACCGACAATTAGAAGTGATAGTGAATAGGGGAAAAACTTATCGGGGTTCAGTCTAAAAAGGTTAAACATATCACTCTGTAAAATAAACTAATTAGGTTAGGATAGGGATTGGAAGTAGTAAAATAGTTTAATTACTCTTAGGGAATCAATTGAGCTCTGCTATAAAAGTCAAAGAGGAAGTAAAAGAGACATACTAATATTAGAAGATGCTGTTATGGCAGTGTTGGGAAGAGATGCATGGTGTAAATTGAAGTATTCAATCAGAGGCACAATAGACGACTGACTGTCTGGGAGACTATTTTAAGAAGTAGGGTTTTTGGGGAGTCATTTGCTTAAAAGATAAATATCATAGGAAGGATGATAATGTATTAGATTGCCTGTTAGACAATCTGTCTGGGAAAAACCTTAATAGGGGTGACTGTTATTTTGGGTTACATTCTTACACTAAGAGATTTGAGGTTAGGCTAAAAGGTGTTTAGTCGGTTTTGCCAAGTCTGTGTGTAATGAGTCAGAAGCAGGTGGGGAACTTTCCCAATCACATATTCTAAAAATTTGGTGGTAAGAGATTTTGTCAATAGATCAGGGGAAAAGGTTTTAAATGTTATGAGAGAAAAGATTAGATTAAAATAAGTTAGGGGTAGGCTAGGTTGAAGGGACTCTGAGACAGTAAGCTAAGTTTCAAAGTTAGTAGTAAGACAGAGAGAGAACAGTAATGAATGACACTGTCCAGTAGGGAGATCAAGGTCATTATAGGTGTATTTTGTTATAATCAGGAGGTTTAAAGTTTAGAGGTAGAACTGAAAGGGGGAAAAAGTGACACTAGGGGTGATAGATGGAAGTACAAGGAAGGAGTTCAAAGTCTTATGGGAAAACTAGGAGTAAATAAGGACATTAACACTTCAGTTTATTAGAACAACAGGGAGAAGCAATTTAACTCTTTCAACATTGATAGGTATTAAAGTCATAAACATATTGCATTTGATTATAAGGGAACCAGTACAGCACCAATTTTAGGGGGAAAAATACTTATTAGGGTTTAAGATGGGGACGTTTCTCTCATATGGAGAGATAAATATGGAGAATAAGTATTGTTATCAGGACCAGGAGTAGAATGAGGTATAGTTTGGAATAGGGTTAGGAGTGACTGTTCACTTATGTTGCGTAATATTATAGAGAAAGGTTAGGGAGAATATATGTGTACTTATTTAGGGCAAGCATTAGAATTTGTTTCGGTTAGGAATTATTGGTTAAAGGGCCATGTAATTCATAAAGTAACGCTTATAATGGAAGATTTGAAGTCTGTGGAAGTTTTCACAGTCATTAAGGGAGTTCAGGAGGAGTAGAACTGAATGGACAGTAGTCACTCCAACAGTAGATAATACACAGAGGATAATGGGAAATTTTGCACTAGAAGTAATTAGGGTTGATACAGCAGCTAAATCAACTACTTTAAGGGTAACTTTGGAAGGGATTAATGATACTATGGCAATAGCAAATATAGGAGTAGGATACTGACAACAATTGTTCTGAAATTAAAGAGGTAGCAAGAGGGACTCAGGAGGTTATGGTACGAATGGGGTTAAAATAGAGCAGATAGAAACAATATAGATTAATCTGAAATGGAGAATAGAGATTCATCATGGAAGCTGCAGTATGGGGTCTTTTGATTTTGATGACAGAGGGGGGGGGGCATCTGATCAGTGCTGCTCGTTCCTCTGTTGTGAAAATTAGAGATAGATTAACTCATTCTGTAAGAATCAGTGAGGAATCTTGAGGGTCCATGTCTGTTGAGAATTCCATCCAGGACCTGTTAGACGGTTGCGCAGCCTCTGTCAGGTGTGGATCAGTTTTGAGCTTTGTCATAACTGTGGAATTGGCAACAGTCATTGACAGATAAAATAATGTTGTTGTCAAAACAGTAGGGTTTAAGTGTTCTTGGGTAAATGGATTACCCTATGGGAATTGTTAGATGTGAAGTCAGGTAACAGTGGAAACCTTAAGTATTCAGGTGAAATATTGAGGGATAAAAGTGGTGTTTGTTCTAATAAAACATATGAGGTAAGGGGTATGTTTATGGAAAGATCAGATTGGGATGTTAGATGATAACTTTGGATAAGTATGACCTTAAGGGTAGTAATGACAAATAATAGGTTACTTTTTATATATCAGGTAGTAAGAAGAGCAGGACTTTGATGGTTAAAAGATTAGCTTTTGACTGACAATGTGACTATGGGAATTTTAGAGGATAAGGGGAAATTATGATAGAGTATATTCTTACCCTATGGGGGATAGGATATTGTTACAGGTCAACGTTTAAGCTTCCATATGAGGTTTTACCATTATAAGAGGGATAGCATTGGACACAGCTAAATCTAGGGTTAAAAGGGTGACATTACATTTACATTTTAGTCATTTAGCAGACACATGGCGACATGTCATAGTCTTCAAGCCTATCATTGAAGAATAAGTTTAAGGGAGAAGGGGGGACTTCATTCATGGTATGGTGTAACATTTGGGAAGATAATAAGCTTTGATAACACTGTGTGATGTTTGTACTGACTTTTGAGAAAGTTATGAGATTGAGATAGGTTGGAGAAGTGGTGCCTGGAGACAACACTCAGATGCCGGTGTTGACTGTTCCGGATCTGGACGAAGACGGACGAGGGGGTCTAGATGGACTACTGAATGGATAAATATCATTTTGGATTATTTTATGATTTTTCAAATTGGTTTTTCAATATTAGTATGATTTTTAGTGTGATTTATGAATCAAAGGGGGGAATGGATAATGTGATTCATGCATCATTTATGTATCATTTTTTAAATTCTTAGGTGAAATGGAGGTTTAATTTGAAAGTGGTTGTTTTGCAAAGGATACTGTTTGGTCGTTTATTTTCTTGTCATTCCAGAAGCATGTGGGAGAAGCATGTGGAGATTGGAATACTCAAACAAAGACAATATGACTGGAGGAGAGGAAACAAGGATGGTGTGGCTGATTCCATCATCAACAAGTCCATTGGAAGAGGACACTACAGGAAGAGGAAGTGTAGTGGACTACATTCCAGTGTCTGCAATGAAATATAGACATATTTGATGTGTAATACATAATTGTGTCATATTCTTAGGTATTGATTTTAGTAGAATTATGTTTGATGTTATTGAATGCAGATGAGGATCGTAGATGCTTTTGTTTATTTCGATGGGGTTAGGGACAGAATGTTTAAGCAGGGAGAGATTCCCTTTCAGGTCCTATGGGTTGACCAGCCTGAGAGTGGATATTTATGGATAGGATTTTGTTTACATGGGTATTTAATTACATCATAGTTTCAAATGCATTTACATGAGTTATGAGGTTATCTGGAGTACCGACGGTGGTTGCCTGGGGCAGAGGGACGGTGAGAGAATTTTACTGTCTTGATTGATATGGATGGATGGCTGCTGGACAGTTTTTCGCTCTCACACTCCATAGAGATTTCTTCATAATTCATAGTAATGTGTTCATACTTCAGAAACAGTTGTTCATAATTCATAGTAATGTGTTCATACTTCATAAATAGTTGTTCATATGTCATAGCAATGTATTTACACTCCATAAACAGGTATTTCATAGAAAGGTATTTACACTCAAGAGGAGAATGGGTTTGGTTTAATGTTAAAGATATTCAATGAGATAAATGGTTAATAGTCATAATCTTATTCTGTTTGTTTTCGAGACGTTTATTTCGTCTCGAAAGGGGGGAATATCGTATCTGAAGATTATGCCTTTGTTAAATGTTTTTCATGACGAAATGGAATGTTGGTTGTTCAGGCCAAAGGGGGGATGTTTTATGATGTTATTTGAAATGTGCCGCTTGGAGGGTGACGCCCGAGGGGAGACTGGTGATTGGCCAGAAGAGGGAGTAGCCCCTCCCTTTGCATTGTTTATAAATAGGAGTTAAACGATGAGACGACAGAACGACCATAACAATCTGGGAGGCGTTCTCCAGGCAACGCGTGTCTGTGAATTTATGCTGTAACCTCGTGGTATGAATAAAAACTTCTGACACGATGCAGCATAACGGACTTTTTGTTCATCAGCAATATTACCACCATTCATCATATACGACATCTGTAAAAGTGAGTATAGTAAGAAAAACTGCTAACCTTCCACATAGAGTCTGGCAGTGGTCCTGATGTGGTCATCTTCAACAACAGCACAACTGTATTCTGCATCGTCCTTCATGTTGATGATCAGTACAGAAAGGAAATGAACCTTTCTGTCTGAGCGCATCCTGTATTTATCTCCAGAGAAAATCTCTGCATTGTTCTTCAGCCATTTGACTTTAACAAAAGGCTCACTGGTCTCACACTCAAAGGTCGCCATGGTGTCCTTCTCTTTAGCTTCCACATCCTCTAGTTGTTGAGTAAAGCTAATAACTGTCGTGGCTAAAGTGAAACAGAGGAAAGACACATTTAACATGCTTTTTCAAGGAAGACATAGAAGAGTTCTCTATATTTATTTATGCAAAATTACATCTTTAAACTATTTGTAGAATACAAGCTTCATATGCATTGAAATATATAATTTACCTTGCACCAGCAGGAATGCATGGCTTGAAGTCTCTCCAGCAATGTTCACGGCTTTGACCATGATGCTAGCAGAGTCTTCTGCTGTGACATCTCTGACCACTAATTCACATACATGGTCTTCAGGCCAGAACCAGTAAATATGATCTGTCTTCTCCAGCAGGATTCCATTCTTGAACCACTGGCACTCAGGTTCCGGTTTGCCGACAACTCTGACTCTGAAGCGAACTTCCTCGGTCTGAGACACGGTCTGGCTTGCAATACGTTCCAAGATCTTTGGAGCTTCCATGCTGGGAGAGAGCTGTACTTTCTCTGGTTTGATTGTGGGGATGGTGAGTTTTCCCTCCTCCAACTCTTTCTTCTTCTCAGCCTCAGACAACAGTTTCTGATGGTGAAGCAGTTCTTCCTTCCTCTTCCTAAGCATATCCTCATAGGACTCATCCTTTCTTCTGGACTTGAGCTCCACAGCAGTGATGGCTTCATAATAACCTTCCTCTGTCCTGCGCTTAAATTTACTCTTCAACTCATCTGTCTCCTCTGTGGACTTCTCATGAATGACTCTTTCAGTCTTCCTCAGTTTGACAACTTCCTTTGGCTGGGCATCAGCAGATCTATCAACTTTCACAACTTCAAAGCTAACTCTTCCATGTTCAGTAGTGTGTGCCTTTGGTTCAGGAACGCGACGGAGAATAGATCTGAAGTCCTCTTTCTGTGTGATCTCCAGCTTCACCATATGCTCAGCTGTGCCCTCAGGGTTCTCTGCTACCACTTTGACATCTCCTGCATCATATGACTTGATATCGATAATCTCAAGATAGTAAATGCCATCATAGCGAAGTCTCATTCTCTTGCTCTTGCAAATGAGCTGCCCATTGAGGTACCAGTTGACCTTAGGTGTAGGATAACCAATCACTCTGCAACGGAATCTTGCAATTTCACCTTCCAACACTCTTGCTGGCTCGGGAAGAAGGACAATTTCAGGCTTTGACTTCTCTGAATACTCATCTGCAGTGACTCCAGAAGGACCTCCCTCGTGAGCCATGCGCTCCATCTCATCAATTCTGTGTATTCCCCTCCTGCCCTCAGGTAACTGAGTCTCCTCAACAAGGCTCTTCTCCTCCTTTACAATCAGTGTAGCTGAGGTCTGGTCAACTCCAAACTTGTTAGTGGCTCTGCAAGTGATGACACCACTATCTCTGGCATAGGCAACTTCAAATTCAAGACTACAGTAGCCAAATTCATTAATCATGCGCAATCTGTTTGCAGCTTCCAGGGGTTTGCCATCATGCAACCACTCAACCACCATAGTGGGATCACCAATAGGGGTCAGTCTGCATTCAAAGTGGACAACACCAGAATGCTTCAGCCTGACGGAAGTCAACTTCTTCTTAAACTGTGGTTTCTGCTGCTTGTCCTTGTCATATAAGTCACCTTCCTCCCACTGCTCTTGACCATAACGGAGATGTAGGGATTCCAACTCTGAAGCTGCAATTTCCTTGGCCTTGTAGGTTCCCTTGGTGATAATGAGTCTCCTCTCCGGATCAGGTGCCGCAACATCCACCTCAATGTTGACCCTGCAGCGAGTGGTATCTCTTCCAGCTTTGTTAATGGCTGTGGCTGTGTACCAGGCACTGTCAGAGCTCACCGACTGTGGGATATGGAATTTGGCTTGTCCCTTGAGGCCCTCAATCCTACAACAGACATAATTGTTAGTAAATCAGCATTAAGTACAACCTTGTAATATAAAGATAGTAACAAATGTACATATCATAAGGACTGGAGAGGTATTTGGTGCACATGATGTATATCATAGGCATGTTCACATTGTGATAACAGGTGGGGCAAAACACATACTTAATATTTGGGTGCTTCTGTGGGGAGATGATGTCACTGTTTTTCAGCCAAACAATGTCAGGCAGGGGGTTTCCGATGGCTTTGACAGCCAACTCAACCAGGGTGCCTTTCTTCACACTGACGTTCTTCAGTTTCTCAATAAACTGGGGTCTGACCAGCTTTTCTTTAGCTGTACATGGAGAAACACATATGAGGACAATGCTATTAGTCAACAATGGTACAGTGCATTCAGAAAGTATTCAGACCCCTTGACTTTTTCCACATTTTGTTACGTTACAGCCTTATTCTAAAATTGATTTAATAGTTTTTTCTTCTTCTCATCAATCTACACACAATACCCCATAATGACAAAGCAAAACAGGTTTTTATAAATGTTTGCACATTTATAATAAAAACAACAACTGAAATATCACATTAACATAAGTATTCAGACCCTTTACTCAGTACTTTGTTGAAGCACCTTTGGCAGCGATTACAGCCTCGAGCCTTCTTGGGTATGACACTATAAGCTTGGCACACCTGTATTTGGAGAGTTTCTCCCATTCCTCTCTGCAGATCCTCTCAAGCTCTCTCAGGTTGGATGGGTAGTGACACTGCACAACTATTTTCAGTTCTCTCCAGAGATGTTCGATCAGGTTCAAGTTCAGGCTCTGGCTGGGCCACTCAAGGACATTCAGATACTTGTCCCGAAGCCACTCCTGCGTTGTCTTGGCTGTGTGCTTAGGGTCGTTGTCCTGTTGGAAGGTGAACCTTCACCCCAGTCTGAGGTCCTGAGCACTCTGAAGCAGGTTTTCATCAAGGATCTATCTGTACTTTGCTCTGTTCATCTTTCCCTCTATCCTGACTAGTCTCCCAGTCCCTGCCACTGAAAAACATACCAACAGTATGATGCTGCCACCACCATGCTTCACCATAGGGATGGTGCCAGGTTTCCTCCAGACATGACACTTGGCATTCAGGCCAAAGAGTTCAATCTTGGTTTCAGCAGACCAGAGAATCTTGTTTCTCATGGTCTGAGAGTCTTTAGGTGCCTTTTGGTAAACTCCAAGCGGGCTGTAATGCGCCTTTTACTGAGGAGTGGCTTCCGTCTGGCCACGCTACCATAAAGGCCTAATTGGTGGAGTGCTGCAGAGATGGTTGTCCTTCTGGAAGATCCTCCCATCTTCACAGAGGAACTCTGGAGCCATGTCAGAGTGACCATCGGGTTCTTGGTCACCTCCCTGATCAAGGCCCTTCTCCCCCGATTGCTCAGTTTGGCTGGGCGGCCAGCTCTCGGAAGAGTCTTGGTGGTTCCAAACTTCTTCCATTTAAGAATGATGGAGGCCACTGTGTTCTTGGGGACCTTCAATGCTGCAGAATTTTTTTGGTAGCCTTCCCCAGATCTGTGCCTCGACACAATCCTGTCTCGGAGCTCTACAGACAATTCCTTCGACCTCATGGCTTGGTTTTTGCTCTGACATGCACTGTCAACTGTGGGACCTTATACAGACAGGTGTGTGCCTTTCCAAATCATGTCCAATCAATTGAATTTACCACAGGTGGACTCCAATCAAGTTGTAGAAACATCTCAAGGATGATCAATGGAAACAGGATGCACCTGAGCTCAATTTCGAGTATCATAGCAAAGGGTCTGAATACTTATGTAAATAAGGTATTTTAGGTTTTATAAATTTGCAAAAATTTCTAAAAACCTGTTTTCACTTTGTCATTATGGGGTATTGTGTGTAAATTGATGAGGGAAAAAAATGTTTTAATCAATTTTAGAACAAGGCTGTAATGTAACAAAATGTGGAAAAAGTCAAGGGATCTGAATACTTTCCGAATGCACTGTATATGACAGGGCTTTTCATTTCTGGCCCTGGAGGGCTGCAACACTTCTGTTTTTTGTTTCTACCTGGTAGTTAATTGCACTCACCTGGTGTCCCAGGTCTGAATTAATCCCTTATTAGAAGGAGAGGATGAAAACCAGAGTGTTTCGGCCCTCCAGGACCGACATTGAACAGCCCTGGTATATGATGTATCGAAACAAACTGATAATTCATTTTTAGCTTTAAAATGAGTATACCACATACGATACAAAGATCTTACCATCAACTGTAAGTGTTATGGACACAGAGCTTTTTCCAGCTCTGTTTTGAGCAACTACCGTCCACTCTCCAGAGTCTTTGGGCATGGCTGGAACCACAATCAGTGACTGAGTTCCATCTTCCTTCACAACTATCTTGTGTGTGTAATCATTGACAACTTGTTGTCCTGAAAAGAAGAAAACAAAGAGAGGAATAAAACGAGTTACATGATGTGCTATGCTTCAAGAGAAGAGAACATGTTTTCACATCACTTACCATTGTGGAACCAGAAGGTGTCAGGCATGGGTCTACCAACTACTTTCAGGTCAAATCTGGCAGTCTGCCCTTCAGCACACTTGAATGTCTGTGGCTTCAAGACAAACACAGGCTTGTACAGTCTCTCCAGCTGACTTTCATCAGTGTCATCAAGCCTGCGTGCAGGGGAGCGTGCTGGAGAGCGACTAGTAGAGCGTCCGGGAGAGCATCTCAGAGATCTTGGGGACTGGGACCTGAGCAAATAAATACCAAAATCAGTGATACTTGGAAAGTTTTATGATGGCTATGTTAAAACAAATATACATTAAAATACATTTGGTAATAAAAATCTCACCTAATTCTCTGCATTGCCTGAGGTTCAGGCGTGTAACGTGGAGCTACTGCAATGGCAGTGGGCTCCACATACAGTTTCCCAGAGCTCACAGAGTTGCCCCTCATGTTGCTGGCAAATGCTGTGTAAACACCTTCATCCTCTGGCAGCACCACAGGAAGACGCAGGCTGGCTCTACCATCCTGAAGACTCTCCATCTGGTAACGGCCGCCATGATGGATACGCTTGCCATCTTTGTACCATACGATCTTTTGAGAGACAAGAAAAGTTTGATGAATATATCAAATATACAACATTTTATATGAAGTGGAATGGACAGTTAATATCAAATTAAAATACATGGTTTCTTTACTACCTTGGGCAGTGGAGTTCCAGCCATTTTGCAGTGGAAAGTGACCCCCATTCCTTCCATGATCCTGTAGTTTTTAACTGGAGTGCTAAAGACTGACTGTACAGTCTCATGGTCTGCACAAGTCACCATCTCTTCCCGATCCTCTTTCACAATTTGTTGGTAGGTAATCTGCAGGATGTGGAACTCAATCTCGTGGATAATCCTCTCCTCAAAGGAAGAAATCTGGAGTTCCTGTAAAAAAGTTCAACACATTGGAATAAAGCATGTTGTTGGCTGAGAACAAATCAAATGCCATAACGTCACAATGATAGCGTATTGCTAGCCTGGGTACCAGTCTATTTGTGCTAACATTCCACTCATTGTACTCCATGTCATTTGGCATGACAAGGAGTGGCATGATGGCACAAACAGTCTGGTACCCAGGTTAGTGTATCGTTTTTTATACATCCAAATACCTGTGTTGAAACAAAGCTTTGCATCTGTGCCATCCTCTGGATGTACTTCTGGTCCTCGTCATATTCGCTCACAACAACAGGGGGAACATCCGCCTGCACCGTTGTAGTCACTTCAGTCTTATAGGTCATTTCATGTTTCTTCATGTATTCTTCATATTCTCCTGTAAACAAAATATACAATGTATAAACAAAAGTTAAAACATTATGATCTGGTTTCACGAACCAAGATAAAGACAATGAGTATGTCCAAAATGGCACCCTATTCCCTTTATAATGCACTACTTTTGACCAAGGGCCATAGGGCTGTATGTAAGGAACAGAGTACCATTTAGGATGCATCATATTACTGGATTTGGATTACTGAAATTAAACAACATTGTGATTAAAGAGACTGACCTTCCTCCAGCAGACCAGCTGAGGCAGATGCTTCTCCAAGCTGGTTCCTGGCAAAGATGGAGTACTCTCCAGCATCATCAGCAAACGTCATGGAGATCTCCAATTTACACACTCCCCTCTCGTTATTGTAGTGGACTTTATATCTAATGGATGAATACGTAATATATTGTAAACAGTACAATCAATTATCAATACACTCTGTCTTACAAATGCAAAATAGAGAATCATTTAAAATGTGTTACAAGTAGGCTACCTGTATCCAGTAGTAAGGGGCACTCCACTCTTCTTCCAGATAATGTGGGGCTTGGGGCTGCCTCCGATCTGGCACTCAAAGACAACTCTTCCGCCCTCCACCAACTTCTGTACAGTTGGCTTCTTGACGAAGAAGGGAGCGACGGCATCTGCAGTATCTACTGACATGGTCTCCTCCTTTGCTTCAATAGCAAAGCTAGAAGGACATTGGAAATATAAAGTAATTAGGGCAAACGTAATCTCAGAAAGTGTCTGTAATAAGATTAGACTGACGATGGCCTTACAGTCGAAAAATCGAAACGTTTGTTCTTGTCTCTTGTTGCCTTAATGAATAAATGAGCCTAAAAGAACCTTGAAAATCTATATTTTGAGTGTGGACCCTCTACTAATGAATCTGAAATAGGATTACACCAACTTCTTTCATCCCCATTTGCAAAACTCAAACAGTGAAGATTCACTATGATCTGCTGGTGATTGATTTCATAATTTTGAGATTTTAGTCATTTAGCAGACGCTCTTATCCAGAGCGACTTACAGTTAGTGAGTGCATACATTTTTCATACTGGCCCCCCGTGGGAATCGAACCCACAACCCTGGCGTTGCAAGCGCCATGCTCTACCAACTGAGCTACACAGGACCATTACACTGAGTGGTAGGAAGGGAAACTGCTGTCAGAAATGGCACGTGCTGTACTTGGTGGTTCTGGTTCATATAATGTATGATGAAGAGCATATAATTATTCTGTTTTCCCTTGTCAACATCTAGCACACAATACTTAACTATACCTGCCAAGAGTTTCCAAATGTAGTGGTAGAAAATAGTTAGCACCCACTGTTTCTCTTTAAACACAGTGGCAGTTCCCTGCTGTGTCATCGTTTCCTGCTGTGTCATCCCTTCTGTCATCTCTTCCCAGGTCTCAATCTCCTCAGTTACTAGAAGGAAGAAATGTATACAAGTATTAGCACTTTCATAAACCAATACACCCAATTAACCATTTGGCAGTACAGTATTCGACCTCAACAGTAAGTAGTCATTGTAGACAGAAATGTAAAAAACTAAACTGCCTGTTTACCTTTGACAAGCAGGTAGCAGGATGTGCTGATAGTTCCTGCTTTGCTAGTAGCAGTGCAAGTGAAGCGACCGCTGTCTTCTGTGAAGGCCTCGCGGATGACCAGACGGGCACATTTACTCTCATAAGTGATCTGGAAGTCAATGGAGCTCTCAATTCTGTAGTCCTCTCTGAACCACATGATGCCAGGGGCAGGGTGACCAGTGATCTGGCATTCCAGAGTCACAGATTCACCCTCAGTCACATTCAAGTTCTTCAAGCCCTAAAAAAAGATATTTCAAAAAATAAATTAACAAATATTGACATAGGTGACATAGATGGAGTTGGAAAGGATGCCTGAATAGACAACAATAACTTATATGATCTGAAATAAAGCCACTAGAGAAATACTTACAGCTACAAGAGTAGGTGGCACAACTGGCTCTTCTGCAAGGGATGGGACTACTGCAGTCTCAACAATCTGTGGAAAATGCATAGAAGTCACAAAAAGTCACATGCAGTACAGTATCTGAACTTGACTTTAGGAGTGATGAAAGATGGGTTAAATGGATGCAAGTTAAGAATGAATCCTAGAGCGAAGAAGAGTTGTGACAACAGGTTGGGAACAGATAAATGAAGATGTAGGGAAGAGGAAGAAGAGGGGAAGAAGAGGAGAGCAAGGTAGGTTTTCTTTATGAAGCAGATGGATTCTGAAACAAAGAGAACGTGGCGTGGCTTCGGCGTTATGGTGAAGAGGAGGTGTACCAATACCACTCAGTGAGGTGAGAAGCCACACAGTGTTATTTTAGAGGGCACAACACTCTGGACTACAAACCTTTGTTTCCAAAGTCTTATACATTTGCTCCGTTCCCCCTGTAAACGTAGCGCCTATCTGAGTCTGTAACTGAGTGTCGAAATGCGTCTGATATCTGTCTGTGATATCTTTAAACGGAGACGGGGTTTGGCGCTGGCATCACGTCCACAATCTTACGGTGGAGACTAGGAGATGGAGGATTGACGGGCTTGATGATCTTTTGAGCAGCATATGCAGAGGTAGAGGATAACTCTTTCTGCAGTGTGGCAATAGCAGAACCTGCTATCGAAACCTGACCAACCCAAGGAGAATAGCATGATCATCACGAATCAGAACAAAGCATTATGATATTGCCTGCTTTGTTTAGCAATATTAAGGATGATCACTCAAAAATATAATGGAATGGGTGACGATGTACAGTATACGGATGAAGTGAGTATTCGTATATGGGAAATATTTGCTTAACTAAATATTGAATTTGGATGGAAAGTCCTGAGATGAGAGGTAAAATGCAGTGATTCAGAATTCATGTGTTTTCAGTGTACAGTTCACAACACAGCAGTGCAGTCTGTGTATGTTAAGATTGGATGGTCTGTTAAGATTCAGTGTGGTTTAACACATAAATTGTATAGAGAGAGGATTGTATGTAAGGCAAGCAGGAACTACATAAAGCTGAAGACATAGTTGACCACAACAGTCAGGATTATAATATAGTATCTATAACATCATTATTAAAAATAAATAAATAGTGAAATTACTCCTAACTTTTACGTGTAATAATCAAATATACTAACTGAAGCACTACAACAATTGTGTACCACTGCTTGCCGGATTTTACCTATGCTTACCTCATAGCTAGGGTCAGGTTTAGGAACAGTAACTTTTGAAACTGTGAAATGTGGAATTGAGGATGACGCAAGGGCAGTATCCACGTGGGCGATAGTAGTTTCTGTACTTCTTCGTATCTAAAGTAACCAACGGAGTGTGATAGAGTGAGGACAATAAACTCAATGTAAAAATTAGAATAACAAGCAGGACTTTGAATATAAAGTTATCTGAGAAAGCTTGGCAATCAGCATCTTTTCATAATAAAAAGATAGCAAACCTGGGTTACATCAATACTCTGGTCATCAGATGTTGTTTGAGTTGCCATTGGGGGTATTATTGGTATTTGCAAAGCCTCGGTTTTCACTGTGACTTGCTGCGCAGTAGTAGCCAGCATCATCTGCTGTTTTAAATCAGATTCATAGGTTTCCTCTTCAGCATGACCCCTCTCTCCATGCATTGGTTTCCGAACGCGTGCTAGGTCAACAGCAGCAACCACTGTAGCCTTTTCCTCCGCTTTTTTCCCACCCTCAACCTTTGAGACAACAAGCAATCAATGTCATCTAGCACATAGATAGCATACACATCATCCATGGCAGCAGTCACTTCAACGGCAAACAGATTCACATTCTGATTACAAACACTCTAGACAAACTCCATACCCCTGTATATAAAACAAGTGTTGATGTGCATTACCTGGTAATAACATGGAATCATTAAAGCATGGAATCATGTTAGTTTGAGTAGGTTGTGCAATATTGAAAATGAATCATGCAGGTGCACAATCGAATTACCAAAGATCTGCTCAACAGATTTGTGTGCACTCGTACATGTGCTAAACAGATTTGGGACAGAATTTTCCTCTTCTAATCGGTATGTGCAAAATACGTACCTAAATCACTGCCTTAAGTGCAGAGAAAATGGGGTCATGCAGTGACTTCAACTTAAATAGTGCTAACATACAGTATAGGTGAGGTGAGTGATTTGGGAAAGTGCTCAGAGGACTAAATAAAACAATAAGTGCCATCTTTAAGCTACTTGCTTCTTGGTTGTCATCATACATGTGACAGTAGAGATTTCAATTTCTCTGTGCTCTACCACAGTGTCATCAGTGTGTGTCGCCATAGCTGGTTCAACAGCTATAGAGTCTGGCATGATCTATGTTATGAACATGGCCAGGGGCAGGATATTTATACAGTACATTAGGTGTATAAATAATGATAATATGAATAACACATATCAACATTATGGGAGAGCTCGACAACACACCATAGGGAATGTGAAAAATAAACCATATGAATGTGACAAAATCACAGATGGTTGTGAGGTCAAATATGTAGGTAGGGGGAAATTACACCAATTTAAAATGGAAAACTGTCTATGTTTACCAGGGATAACGTTGTTAAGCGTGAGGGGGGTCTACCAATGTGGGGGTGTGGTGACAGAAAAAAGGGAAATAAATCCATAATGGAAGTGAAGGGAGGGACGACAGGGTTGTACGTCCTTAATGAAAGAACTACCTGTTCCCTTGTTGTGGACATTAACACCACAGTAGTAGAGGTGCTCTGTGTCTCTGTACTGGGCTGCACCACCGGCACCGGCTCCGGGCTCTGGTGTAAAACCAGCAGACATGTGGCTGCGAGCCTGGTCCACAGCTGATACCACAGTAGCTACAGCAATGCTTTATCATCCACCTCATGCTGCGCCTCCTAGCATACATTAGTACAGTTAGGATCCAATCAAAGTCATTATACGTTTTATTGATAATAGCTGCATACATGTATGTCACTATCACCATATTTATAATAGATGCAATCTTAAATAGCTGCAATCATCACATAGGGAGCTGAGGCATTACTTTCTAAATTCAGACAACCTAGCCTAAGCCATGTTAGATCCCAAAATACATCCAGGAAGTAAAATATTCATTGGACAGGATATTCAAACTGATTTAGGTGAGTTTCATCAAAAAGAGAGCTAATCAGCAAATCAAAGCAGTTCACAATCTTAAAAACCTTATGAACGCTCATGCACATAAACCAATCAGCCACAAGATAGCTCTGCCACAGAGAGAGTTGAGAGAAGGGCCCCTATAAAATAGGAATTTCCTTACCTCTTTCACAGCGACACCAGATACAGCAGCACCAGTCGTTTGCGATCCATAAGAGCCCTCCCAGTGCTGCTCCATGTGAACATGGGTGGCAGACATGGAAGCCTGGACATGGGTGGCACTAGAAGTCATGCTGCTGGAATAGCTGCTGGAACCTTCAACCAAGTCTCCCTGCTTCCAAGGTGGGAGGACATCAGGACCATGGGCTACCTGTTTGCGTGTGGTCAGTGGGGATTTAACTGGTCTGATTGGGGACACAGACAGTCTTGATGAAGGGGATAAGGGCCTGTGTTAAACAAAGAGAGAAAATAAATATATTTTTTAAACATTTATATTATTCTTATATTACCAAAATTGTGTTTTGTAGTATAAATAGACAAATAAGTAATTAATATGTTTATAATGTAATGACTGTATTACCAGGTAATTTCTAGGGAGCCTAAATACCTGGTCATTTCTGTATTATAAAATAACATGATACCCAGGGTCTTATGCCCTACATAGATTGGGGTGACCTGTCTGTCTGTCTTGTGTGGGATATTGTTGCACTTTATTTTATGTAGGATTGAAATAAAGTGTTTTACCTAACAGGGGCTGTAGAGGGGGCCTTGAAATGTCTCACAGGTGATGGTGACTGATGACGTCCCCCTGCAACTCTGGCTGCAAGAGATTGTGGTGTTGGGGACTTGGAGGTTGAGGTTGGCTTTGGAGGCAAACGTGGTGGTGTCTTGTGTGCCAATGTCTGGCTCACTACACCACCTTCAACACACATTTGCATGGATGAGGATGAGGATTCAAAATGAGCCTCCGTACTCTGAAAATAAAACAACATATAAGTTTAGTGTTTTATCTGACTGATAGATAGCTTCGACAGACAGACAGACAGACAGACAGATAGATAGATAGATAGATAGATAGATAGATAGATAGATAGATAGATAGATAGATAGATAGATAGATAGATAGATAGATAGATAGATAGATAGATAGATAGATAGATAGATAGATAGATAGATAGATAGATAGATAGATAGATAGATAGATAGATAGATAGATAGATAGATAGATAGATAGATAGATAGATAGATAGATAGATAGATAGATAGATAGATAGATAGATAGATAGATAGATAGATAGATAGATAGATAGATAGATAGATAGATAGATAGATAGATAGATAGATAGATAGATAGATAGATAGATAGATAGATAGATAGATAGATAGATAGATAGATAGATAGATAGATAGATAGATAGATAGATAGATAGATAGATAGATAGATAGATAGATAGATAGATAGGTAATATTTCATGTCTAGTTACCCTTGTCTCAACTCTGGTCTGGCGACTCTGAGAGGAGGTTATCTGTGTGGAGGCTGACACAACGGTTTTAGTCTTCTTGGCAGGCACAGCTTCTTCTCCTAGACAGAAACAAATATAAAGATTAATTTCCCATCAAATTATTGAACATGATGACAACAAGTTGTAAATCAAATTCAGTTTAGGCTACATGTCAATATGGAATTCACTGCCCACGGGGCCCATTGAGCCTGTCACAGTTTCCATTCAGTTTCAATGCATTGACAGACTGGCTCATTGAAGGCCTACACTGTAAACCCCACTTAATATATTCACAGTTACTTAAAGTTATTTTTGTAGTCATTACTCAAACCGATGAGAGTCACTGTGACCCTGTAGGGGTTCCAGATTTGAGTTGTATCAGCTTGAAAATGTTGAGTAACACCCCCATTAAGCCACGCCTCCAATATATTTTCCCAGTGTGCCTTGCCTTTTCGAGTGAATGTAGAGTTACCACCCATGACTGTATTTGTTAGTGACAGAATTCATTCATTTTCAGTTCTGTAGCCTTCACCAGTAGAGTTAATAGGTGAATGTAATCATAATTAACCTCTCTATGACAATACAGTACATATTTCATGAGGCCTTATTTTGAGGCCTAGCTTTACCCTAATACAGGTGCCTGAAACTCATGGTTTACAGGCAACATCAGGCCTGCAAATAAGGTTGCAAAATTCTGGTAACTTTCCCAACATTCCCAGATTTTCAAAAAATCCTGGTTGAAGGATTTCCAGGAATATCCAACTGGGATTTCTGGAAAACATGACAATTTACCAGAATTTTGCAACCTTACTTCAAGTCACATTATGCTGGCTTGCAAAGTGATGTGTAATTCCTATTGGAATCCAGCCAGAGTTAGGATATCCAACAGTTGATATTTGTATCATAATGACTGCTAGGATTAGGAACTGTGTGAGGAGACTACCTAAGACATTTCATCTGGAACAACCATTTCAGTAACGGGTGCAAAAGAATCTAACAATGATTGGATTAGTTTAGAAGCATTGTGTAACATAATATTAATCAATCACTCAATCTTCATGCAAAAGTACAGATATTAAAAAGACATTTTACAAAATCTACATTCGGTAGAGCATGCTGGGGAAAAAGTTAATTAATAAACATTTTAGGTAAACATTTTAAGTAATAATGACTTTGAGTTCAACTTACTAGAAGTATTTGAGTAAAAAATGCCTTACAGTGTAGGCAGTCACCTCTCTCGGCTAGATTAACTATATTTTCTGTCCACAAAACAGCAAGAAAATGCACAATAAATTATTGAAACAGGAATGACCTTGTAACCCAGAGAAGGCTGTTACAATGGTGGATTTCCAAAAGCCCAAAGCACCACTCAAATGTGTCGCAGGCGATATGGTTGGCGCATGGCAATTTTAAGGACAGAACATGTCGCCCCCTAACCACACACCACAAATCAACTGTATCAACTTTATCTCACCTTGAACCAGCAGTTCAGCAGTGGAGGTAGCCCGTCCACTGCTGTTTGAAGCATTTACGGAGTAAGTTCCAGAATCCTCTGGGAAGGCTTCGGCAATCAACAAACTGTGAAGGTCTCCTTCTTGAACAATCTGAAAGTCAGCGGAGCTCTGTATCTCAGCTCCCTCTCTGTAGAACTTTACCACAGGTGTAGGGATTCCTGTCACACGAACATCCAGTCTCACCTGGCTTCGTTGTCTCACGGTTATACTCTGAAGTCTCTGAATAAAGTTGGGCGGCGCGGTCTCCGCTGTAATAATAAATTAAATGGAAAATATGTTTTTTTTTAATGAAAAAAGTGGTGGAAGTACAAATCATAACTTGACCAGCACCGCAGAGATCCATTGTCTAGGGAGACCGGGGGGAAATGCAACCGGTGGAGACCGGGGAAAATGTAGCACTATTTTGTCTTTACATCTATCTACTTATCATTCACCATGTAGGCTAAAGGTCTCTACAGAAGATGTTTGGATCGCAATATAGGTTTTAATCCAAATGGTCTGACGTTACATTTGCCCCTATGCCCGGGGTCAATTGTAGCAGTAGACAGGGTGGTCAATTGTAACACCTATTGTTTTACTTTAAAGGTGATTGCACATACATTTGCTTTGTGTAAAATAGTAAGTGGCTAATAGTATGTGCCTAGAACATTAGGCCTAAACACTGGTACACTAATGCTATTTAGATAGAGCAGGGAAGATAACTTTAAGATCATTAGGCCTAACCAGCATTGTGAGGTTAATGTAACATCATGCTCAACCAGGCGAGAACTATCTGCAACCAAATATTCTAGTCAAATCCCAGTGCTGCCACCAAATGTAAGATATATGATTCCATTTAATATTTTTTCAGTTCTGGGGGGGCAAGATGATCAGAAATCTATTTCGATTGGCCATCATCTGATTGGACACCTTAAGAAGTCCACAGGGCACAGACGTCAGTTCAACTTCTAGTTTCGATTTACATTTGGTTGAGTTGTCAACAAATATGAATTCAACATGAAATCAACAAAACATTTCACCATGTCATTGGATTTAGGGTAAAAATTCCCGTACGTTGATGATATGGAAACACCTTTGATTCAACCAGTTTTTGCCCAGTGGGAGGTGAAATTGTTTAGTCTCTAGGAATAGCTACAGTACAGTGATCATGATTGAGCTTGCTATTACGTAAATCTGAGGAACAACTTAATCCAATTTTATTGTAATCCATAAACTGAAAAACTCACACACAAACAAGCATAGCTCCATTTAGAAACAAAGCTCCAAAACCTGGCAATCTTCGGTACATACAGCAATTTCCCGATTCAATATTGGCTCTCATTATTGGATGTGTAAAATGTAAACAACACGGCAGCTACCACTCTCATCATTGCATTTCAGTGCTGTTAATTGAACAATTCGGTAAATTAGCTAGCAATGAAGGGCCTTAGGCCTACTGCACTTGTGGTCAGTCACTTCAATTGGAGAGGCTGCTTTTAAGAGCTTTATTAATAATGAATACTATTCTATCTGTGGCTGCCCTTCATGTTTGCAGACATGATTACTCTTTAGTATGATGCAGGACACTGTCTAAAACTGCAAGCCAAAGCATTGGCTAGCTAGAACAACCTTAAACAACACCACTGTTTTATCAAGAGGCACAAGCAAGAGGCCCTGAAAGACCCCTGAAGAAGATTTCACCCCTGAGTGTAGTAACCATTAGTAACTATTAGGAGAACCCACAGTGCATATGCTGGCTAATGAAAATAACATAAAACAATACTCTGGTTCTCTCACCTGTAACAAGAAGTTCAGCGGTGCTAGTGGCTTGTCCAGCACCATTGGTGGCTCTCACAGAAAATCTTCCACTGTGTGCGGCTGTCACAGCAGGGATAATCAGAACAGCGCGGCCATCGCTGAACGAGATCTGTGCGCCGGGCAGAGCGGCAGCGGAAAGAACCTGGCCATCATGGAACCAGCTCACCTCAGGAACTGGAGAACCTTTACATCAAGTCAATATTCTAGTCAGCACTGAGCAGAGTTGATGATGAATTTGGTGATGATTTTGAACAAGCAGTTACAATTCAGAGCAAAGCTGAGAAATGTTCTCTCAGGAACTACAAAAGGCCTGCAATATCACATAGGGCTGGCTTCCCAGGCACAGATTAAGCCTAGTCCAGAACTCAAAAGCATTTTCAATGGTGATTCTCCATTGAAAGAGCTTTTTACTGCAGGACTAGGCTTAATCTGTGTCTGGGAAACCGACCCATAATAGGGTACTTATTACTTGTTCAATCACTTCATAAAATGTTGCTGTGCAAAGGCTTTATATCCGCATGTGGTTTTACATCAATGATTCAACACATTCAGACTGCATCTATGTTTGGACATTCAGCTATATTCATGAGGTACAGTTGAAGAACATAAGAGATATCCTTACCACTAACTTGAGCCTCAAACGTTGCAGCACTACCCTCTAGTGCCACAACGCTTTGCAGCGGCTGTGTAAACGTTGGCGCCTGTGTAGACATTGTGGACGGCACCCTAAGAGACACAACAAAGCACATCACCAAATCACTCACACCATAAATCTACCTTACTGATCTTTTACAGTAGTTGAATGGTAAAATCTCTGAACAAAGCACACAAAGACCTTATTTTTAGCCACTGAGGGCAGGTTTCCCAGACACAGACTAAACCTAATCCAGGAATAAAAAGCATTGTCAATGGGGATTCTCCATCGAAAGGGCTTTTTATTCCAGGACTAGGTTTTTAATCAGTGTCTGGGAAACTCACCCTACTTGTGTCGCATCACCAAACCAATGAAGAAAAATATACCTTTCTTTGACATCTTTTACAGTAATTTGATGGCAAAATCCCCAAACAAAGCATATAATACATTTGAACTCTACATTTAAACTTTATTTTTAGTTTATGAGAGCCTTACGTCACTTGCGTCATATTACCAAACCAATGAAGATGAGTCTACCTTTCTTTTTCATCTTTTACATATGCAAATAAAACCTATACATCAAATGAACCCAGCGTGTATTATTAGCCAGTGAGGGTCTAATCACTTCTGTCATATCCAGCACCTGGCTTACTGCGGCCTGTCACTTGAGCTATCAGAGGATCCATGGGGTCTGGGTGTTAGGCCAAACACCAGGGCCACAGCTCTGTGTGACAGCTCACAGACAAGACAGTAACAACTGGAATCTAGCTAGCTACCACTCAGGAGATCCATGCTTCATACACTCAATTAAATAACAGATGGCCAACTGGCCTTACATCAACGTTCAATAACTTACAGTTGAATTAATGTTGATATATTTCAAGTTAAGGTAATACATTACAGTGTAACACTTTACGTTACAGTGACCTTATTACTGTGTAAGTATTCCTGTAAGTACAGTGTAACGAGTACTGTAATTAATCAATGTTACACTGTATGTACACTGTACTAACGGTAAGGCAAGTGTTACCCAATGTAACTAATAGTGTGTAATAGATTCTTTATAACTCAAACTGAACAGAACATATCCCTTGACGTCAGCTGTTAGGCCTACAGTTACACTAGGCCTATACAACACATATCCCTTGACTGGGCCAATGTTTAAGTCCTAAAATGTCTGCCATTGCCATTCCAGTTCCAGATACAACATCATCCATCAAGTCAGCTTTAAATAGCAGCTGGATAACATATCAACATGAGGTTTTGGAATCAAGTATTAATAAATCAGTTATGAATTTATGAAGAGTATGTGTCATTTCCAACAATGTACAAAACACAGCAAAGTTAAAGCTTAACATTTTTAGAACTTGTTTAGGCCTAGAACAGCTTAAAATTTACATTTTAGTCATTTAGCAGACGCTCTTATCCAGAGCGACTTACAGTTAGTGAGTGCATACATTTTTCATACTGCCCCCCCGTGGGAAACGAACCCACAACCCTGGCGTTGCAAGTGCCATGCTCTACCAACTGAGCTACAGGGGACTTAAACTCAGTAGGCCTGTACTTTCAATCCAGTACAGGCCTAGAATTGAGAATTTATTAAAATACATTATTTAACCAAGAAATATGAGCCATTACCTTTCATCCTTAGATACATACACACATTGAATATAGATTCCTTAGGCCTTAATGAAACACAATATCATAACTTCTATTGAATGGAACATCAATGAAGCTAGCAGAGAACAGTTATTCTTCATCATCCGGATATACAGAATATCACTTCAGAAAGTATACGTTTGAAAAACTTCACCTCGAGAAATCTCCACAGTCCTTTTATTGATCTCAATGGCAGGAAATATCATTAAACAATGGCCACAATACCACTGTTCAGAAAGTATACATTGGCGCAACAATTTACTAAGTTATTGCCTTAACAATCAATTATAGCCTTCATCACATAGATAATATTGTTTGAAAACTATACAAAACTGTAAACTTTTGATGAGCCATGTAACACAAATTGGAGCGCTCTAAAAATACTCGGTACCAGGCTTGACTGACAGTCACCATGTGGCACCTAACTGGAGGTGCAACTGATAGCCCTGCTGCTGATTCCCTTAAAAAGACATTGCGCCCCAGCTGGGACACTACTCTAATGCTATCAGGGGCTATTCTGGGAGCTTCTCAAATTATTGCACCATACGAAAAGCATTAGTTCTTATAAAGGTATATATTTGAAATAAAACGTTCTTAATGTTAAATAATTCCGATAATATATTTTGAGACACTTGTCTCCAATTAGGTGGAAATCATCAATTGTCACGTTATTCTTTGGGAATTAGTATATACAGATAACACAATATTAATTGTACTGCATTGGAACAGGTCAAGGTTTAATGAACTAAAATTACTTACTTGTATCCACAAGAGTGCCTAGATTTGATTGGGGGAAACCCAGAAGTTTTATCTCATCAGATATCTCCTTATCCAGAAATGTTGTCAGAAAATCCAACGTGAGAACAGTTTAGCCTCAAAGAAACCTAAAAAAAACAAAACCACACAGTGTAGCTGTGTAGTTTTGTTTTTTTTCCTTATGCAATCCCTACACCCGAGGCAAGGCTGGGAATGCTCCAACTGCTCAGAAGTGACAATATGGTTGTGTTACTTTATATACCGCTGGGCAAATCAGCATCATCAGTACATCTGCTCTCCTCATTGGTCTGCCACTCAGAGGGGATGATGGGAGATGGGAAGCCATATTATGCAAGCTCACACCTGTCACTCACTTTACTTAACATTGTCCAGGCACTGTTGTCACTGCTTGGGTTCATCTGCCTTTCTTTGAACACAAAACACTTATAAGGCCATAAGTCAACAGGAAAACGCTCATCCAGAGGCAGTGCTCCTAGTGGCCGGGGACTTTAATGCAGGGAAACTTAAATCCGTTTTACCTCATTTCTACCAGCATGTTAAATGTGCAATCAGAGGAAAAAAAAACTCTAGACCACCTTTACTCCACACACAGAGACGCATACAAAGCTCTCCCTCGCCCTCCATTTGGCAAATCTGACCATAACTCTATCCTCCTGATTCCTGCTTATAAGCAAAAACTAAAGCAGGAAGCACCAGTGACTCGGTTAATAAAAAAGTGGTCAGATGACGCAGATGCTAAGCTACAGGACTGTGTTGCTAGCACAGACTGGAACATGTTCCGGGATTCTTCAGATAGCATTGAGGAGTACACCACATCAGTCACTGGCTTAATTAATAAGTGCATCGATGATGTCGTCCCCACAGTGACCGTACATACATACCCCAACCAGAAGCCATGGATTACAGGAAACATCCGCACTGAGCTAACGGGTAGAGCTGCCGCTTTCAAGGAGCGGGACTCTAACCCGGACGCTTATAAGAAATCCCGCTATGCCCTCCGACGAACCATCAAACAGGCAAAGAGTCAATACAGGACTAAGATTGAATTGTACTACACCGGCTATGCCGCTCGTCGGATGTGGCAGGGCTTGAAAACTATTACAGACTACAAAGGGAAGCACAGCCGCGAAATGCCCAGTGACACAAGACTTCCAGATGAGCTAAACCACTTCTATGCTCGCTTCGAGGCAAGCAACACTGAAGCGTGCATGAGAGCACCAGCTGTTCCGGATGACTATGTGATCACGCTCTCCGTAGCTGATGTGAGTAAGACTTTTAAGCAGGTCAACATTCACAAGGCCGCAGGGCCAGACGGATTACCAGGACGTGTACTCCGAGCATGTGCTGACCAACTGGCAAGTGTCTTCACTGACATTTTCAACATGTCCCTGACTGAGTCTGTAATACCAACATGTTTCAAGCAGACCACCATAGTCCCCGTGCCCAAGGACACTAAGATAACCTGCCTAAATGACTACCGACCCGTAGCACTGACGTCTGTAGCCATGAAGTGCTTTGAAAGGCTGGTCATGGCTCACATCAACACCATTATCCCAGAAACCCTAGACCCACTCCAATTTGCATACCGCCCCAACAGATCCACAGATGATGCAATCTCTATTGCACTCCACACTGCCCTTTCCCACCTGGACAAGAGGAACACCTACGTGAGAATGCTATTCATTGACTACAGCTCAGCATTCAACACCATAGTGCCCTCAAAGCTCATCACTAAGCTAAGAATCCTGGGACTAAACACCTCCCTCTGTAACTGGATCCTGGACTTCCTTACGGGCCGCCCCCAGGTGGTAAGGGTAGGTAACAACACATCTGCCACACTGATCCTCAACACAGGGGCCCCTCAGGGGTGCGTGCTCAGTCCCCTCCTGCACTCCCTGTTCACCCATGACTGCATGGCCAGGCACGACTCCAACACCATCATTAAGTTTGCAGACGACACAACAGTGGTAGGCCTGATCACCGACAACGATGAGACAGCCTATAGGGAGGAGGTCAGAGACCTGGCCGTGTGGTGCCAGGATAACAACATCTCCCTCAACGTGACCAAGACAAAGGAGATGATTGTGGACTACAGGAAAAAAAAGAGGACTGAGCACGCCCCCATTCTCATTGACGGGGCTGTAGTGGAACAGGTTGAGAGCTTCAAGTTCCTTGGTGTCCACATCACCAACAAACTATCATGGTCCAAACACACCAAGACAGTCGTGAAGAGGGCACGACAATGCCTAATCCCCCTCAGGAGACTGAAAAGATTTGGCATGGGTCCTCAGATCATCAAAAAATTCTACAGCTGCACCATCGAGAGCATCCTGACTGGTTGCATCACCGCCTGGTATGGCAACTGCTTGGCCTCCGACCGCAAGGCACTACAGAGGGTAGTGCGTACGGCCCAGTACATCACTGGAGCCAAGCTTCCTGCCATCCAGGACCTCTATACGAGGCGGTGTCAGAGGAAGGCCCTCAAAATTGTCAAAGACTCCAGCCACCCTAGTCATAGACTGTTCTCTCTGCTACCGCACGGCAAGCGGTACTGGAGTGCCAAGTCTACGTCCAAAAGACTTCTCAACAGCTTCTACCCCCAAGCCATAAGACTCCTGAACAGCTAATCATGGCTACCCGGAC